AACATTATTCTTGTCTATTAGTTATTTTAGTCTATTTTACCTTTTTGTCGATTTTAGCCTAAAAATGTCTAAAAACTTTCTTGCCAAACATCCCTAAGTGTAGCTTCAGCCTTCGATTTGAAGTCTGGTTCAGCTCGTGAGCCTGATTCCATTGAGTCTTCTATCGACCTGCTCTTGAGAGGTGCCTTGCGGGCCACCATAGCTAACAAATATTATGAAACAAAATAGAAAAAATTCTTTTAAAAAAACTGATAATAAAACTTAAATGTTGTATCATTGGGCTAAACCTATGAGCCAACCCGTCAACAATCGGTTAGTTCTTAAGTGTTTACACTGGCTTTTTGTTTCAGTTTGTATCAAACAATCTATGCTTTTGATCTTTTCATAGATAGATACTTGCAATGATTTTTACTACGAAACCTTCAAATCGAACAAGAATTACAAACTGAAAATGTTTACTGAAAACTGGAATGGCTGGTAAGTCATAGTTAATACTTAATGCCCATATGACCGAAACTCTTTTCTTCTTTTTTCTTTGTTCTTTTTTAATTTTGGGAGTTTTCTTTGTTGTTGTAAATTTAAATTGTTTGATCACACAGATATTACAACAATCTTTCAATTTTATCCAATTCCTTTTTTATGCTGCTTCTTCGTATTCCTCTGTTTCCTCTATGTTTTTCTTAGGTATACAAAATTTGGTGGTGCAGTTCTATAAGAACCCGAATATACAAATCAAGTAAATAATTAAATAATAATAATTTTACGATCTCAAATATTTTGATGGTGAATCCTAAAGTGCAAATTAATTATTATTGAATGATCTTTTAATTAATTTTAAAACCTAAAATAAATTTATGGTGAAAGTCTTTAATTTAAAGGCAAGATTTATTATATAAAAAAAATATGGGACAAATTAGTTAGTATATTTTGATCTAATAATAGTTATATTTTATTTAAATTAATGGAGAGAGAAAATAAATTAAAACAAAAGATAATATTTTAGGACATTTTGTGTAGATACATAATGTAACCTTAGGTTGCCTAATACAATTTATAGCAGCAACGGGAGCCTCCACGGGAGAGAGAGAGAGAGAGAGAGAGAGAGAGGTTGAAAAAAAAGAAGAAAAAAAAAAAGGTTGCAAACAAGGAAGAACTTTTGGGTGTGTGGTAGGTTTCTAGCTTTCTTCTTTATTTTATTTTTGTTCTCTATCCTTATTCTATTTTATGATTTAATTCATCGATGGAGAGGTTGTAGGTGTATGTATTTTGTGTATATATATACTGTTAAGAAATTTGAGGAGTTAAATTCACGTATAAAGAATGGGTGTAATTCTTGGTCCAAAAATTCTGCACAGATTTGCAGTAGATTAATTACATATTGAATTGCATATCTGAATTTTCTCAAAATTTTTGGGAGTCAAAATCCATATAATCTGGTGCGTTCAAATCTGTCCAGAAAACTGGTGTAAAACAATAATTTCGAAAGTGTTGTTCTCTTTGGGTATAAATCCGAAAATTATCAAATCAGCATCATTAGAACTAGTTACGAGTCTAGTTTCTTACATTTCTGGCCTTGCATTGATTGCTCATGTATACTAAGAGAACCAAAGTGCTACAGAAAACAACTTGTTTGGGCATAATTAATTGTAAATAATTATTTTGATAAGCAAATCAAGTAAAACCAATTGAGTTTGAAACTTAGGATATATTAGTTGATATCTGGAGAGTTTTGGAATTTTTCGAACAGCGTGGAGTGGTTTTGTAATTTTCAAAGTTGGCGAATAGATTGGGAAAGTTTGTTTAAAATTTTGTTTTATCTTAAAGTTACTTTTAATTAAGTTTCGATTTAAACCCATGTCTTGGGTGATTTTAAACCTTGAAGAACATGAGCTTAGTTAATATTTAAGAGTAACGATAAGTTGGGTTGAGCTGTTTTAGTGCGCTTTAGTTTGGGGTTACTTAGTTCTTATTCTTTAGTATTATTTTTTTTTAAAATTAGTAGTGACGTGTAGTTTTGATACTTGATTCAGGGCGCTGGTTGGACTTTCATATTCTATTCGAGGATTATATTATTTTGTTTTCAGGTGAGTAGTTGCAGGCTACATATTTTTATAAATGTTGCCCTACCATGAACTGTTAGAAAATTAAATTGTTGTTTCAGGACTAAACTATTTTAATAAATTATTATATTATCAATGGAATTAAATAATTTTTGAAACATGTGTAAACTTGGCATACTGTAAACTATTTGTTTTTGGTCTCATGTTTATAATGGTGAACTACCATGTTTTGCGAAACTAATATGTATTGATTATTGGGATCATCTATTTATTTTAGTCTAGGGAAATTATTCCACTGTGTGTGGTGACTCTAGCTACTAGGGAAAAAATCCGGGTTGGGCCATGATGACTCTAGTGCTCAACAATTGTAAGGAAAAGACCTAGGTCAGGTTAGGTGACCTTCAATCGGATCGTCTTAGAGAAAAGACCCGGGTTGCCGCCCCAAGGATGACTTTTGGTTCGATATTGGATCCAACGGGCTTATTGCCTTGAGAACGGTGTGACATGTTACTTGTTATTCTTGGTGTCCGGAAAATTATTGGTATTTAAGTTATAATCTGTTTTAAGTGAAAAATCTCATTTATCATGTTCTTGAGGGACATGAGTATTTTAACTGTTGAACTGTGAAACCTTTTTTTTTTTAAACAGATTGTCTTTATCAAACTATATGCCATTCTAGTTTCTGTGATATATAACTTATTTTGGAATTGATCCATGTTTTCAAAACTGTATATACTATCTATGTTGCTACTCACTAAGCTATCAGCTGACTTAGTTGTTTATCACTTCCAGGTGTTAGAAGGACTTAGAGTAGACTCATGGCGTAGCGGGGACTCAATTACATGGACCTCTAGGACATTCATTTATTTTGTTTTAGATTGTTATGTCAAGTTTGTGCATATTTCTTTTTATTTTTATTGAGGTTCATTTAGGATTATTTTGAGATATGGTCTGTTTATACAAAATAATGGTTCATTCATGAATTATTTATATGGTAAGTCAATTCCAAATTATATTATTTATAGAAATAATTCAGCCCATGTACAATGAATTTTTTTTTTTCTTTTCTGTATCAGTACCATTGAAAAAACATTTTTCAAACGCCACTTAACATAGTACTTTATTATTTATTCATTTCATATTATTCATCTATGTTTAGCAAATTACGGCGGCATATTGCAAAGTGGGTTTGCTATGTTCACACATAATGCTCTATCAGATTATATCCCAATTATCTTTTATCCTAATGTCTCAAATTATTTCAACTACATCATGAGTTTCTCTAAACATGATAAGACGAGAGAATTGGCGATTGGGGATTTGATCTATGTTTTACCATTATAAGTGTTTCAAAACTATCGTTAAAAAAAGAAAAAGAAAAAAAAAAGATAGTTTATTTTGTCATTAGGATTTGTTAGAATGGACAACTCCATTTCGAGAGAAGTTATTTTGTATTCTTGAGACAATATCCTATACTTTTTAAGAATAATATGATTACATAAGTACATTATGTGTCTAAATAAAAGAATTTACACGATCATGTGAATTTTGAAGAAAAAAATTTGTATGGCTTAACACTTAAAGTAAAGTAAGCAAATCAAATTTAAAATGTGTTTAAATTTAAATTAAACTCATTTTAAACTCATTGTATTGTCCATACCATTTACAACATGGGATTATATGCTATGATCAATTGGGATCACCCATTGCATTACAGTTTCCTGTGCCATTCATGACAATCAGTCTTTTCTTCCTCATTGTTAACTTGTCTTTGTTATTCAACTCTTTTTGCTCCTATTGGAGATGAACGGAAGCAAGTTCTCTGCAAGATTCATTACACCTGTGGACATATCCAATGTTGTGTAAACATTACTACTTTGTGCTACAATTGTGATTCCTTCAAGTAAACATTATTACTTTCCCATCTTCTCCCTCTATTACCTCTGTTATATGAAATTCTCATTGCCCTTTGATTTTCCTGCATATTATGCTCCCAAGGTAGGAGTTGTGCAATACATGAAAACTGAATAGAGGGTGGTTGCAATCTTTAATGTGGTTCTGTTTGTTGTTTTGGTGAGAAACTCCTCTCCATCTAGTTTGGAACAAATCAAATTATCTTTTTCTCATTACCAAATGAGGAACAACAGATAATATGGCATATGAATTGCATTTTATATCTTCTACTATTGAAATTGACAAATTGTATTATGAAAGTAGCATAATATTTGTAGATTATCATTTTATTGACAGTGTTTATATGATCAGGGCCTTCTAATCGAGTTCATTTATTTTTGTTACAATTATCTATTGTGAAATCAGTCAATAATCTACTTTGTGGGATGTTGTGCGAACTGAAATGCTGCAAGGACTCTCAAGAAATCTTCACTTGGACGTAAATTTGTTCACATTCCTTAAAAATCACACTTTTTATCTATAACACTGCAGGAAATTCAGCTTTTAGCGGCGTTTAAAAAACGCCGCTATAGGTGCCAAAAACGCCGTTAATTCTTTTTGTGGCGCTTAGCACCAAACGTCGAAGTTGCGGCCGTCGCTATAACATTAGGGCGCTTTAAAAACGTCGTTAAATGGTTATAGATACATAACGTTAAACTGACGTCATGACTGTTTTTAGCGACGTTTTTAAAACGTCGTCATTGCTTTTTTTTGGATTTTAAAAATATAACCGTTGACTGTATAGTGACATTTTCAAAAACGCCATTATATCTTTATTTTTTTAATTTATTTTTTTTAAATTGTGCTAATTCTATGTGGGTGAACCAAAAAATACCTGTAATAAAATTGAAAAATAATACTAATATGAATCAATAATTCCTGTTCCTATTCAAATGAACATTTGTCAAAAGATAAACCAATTATATGAAAAGCTGCCAAGTAGCAAATACAACATTAATTCACTTTTCTATTCAATTTAATATACAATTACCATTTAACTACAAAATAACATATCCACAAATTATGTTTTAACATTCGCCAAAAAATAACAGGAAAAACATTAAGACAAACCCCCTGAGTTTTGATTTAATTTGATGTCTTGTCCTTGATACTAAATTCACTGAACCCAGTTGATATAGCATAGAATCTGTAATCTTCACTGGTCTGGATGCCTGTATCAAAATATGGAAGCCAAATTAGGTAAAGTGCATAAATTAATAATGGTAGAAGTGTTACAGCTATAAAACATAAGATGTACATTACAACTCACCATCTGTTGAAGAAGGTTTTGTACCTGGAAGAACAATTTAAATAAATTAGTCATTTATGAAGCTTTGAAATTGTAGAAAAAGTCAGAAAAAAAAATATTTTAACATGCTTCTTTCAGATAACTATTGTTATTCTTTGAGCCATCGTCAGTAGGAGACGAGGACGTAACCGTCAAAGGCCCACATGAAATGGAAAAGCACTGTTCAAAAATGTTTTCTGTGTACATTAAGACGAACCCATCAATTGAAACACAAAATGAAAATAAATCCGAGGATGAGCTCCCAACATCTGAGATTGGATCCCCACCAACAAGAGACTGAACCTTATTCACTGGGGAGATAAAAATTGAAATTATTCCCATGCTTACACTGAAGCAACTTTGTGCACAAAAATCTTCAGAAACAACTCCAAACTGTTCATCAATCTGTGGATGATCAGCAAAAAATATATGCAGAAGCAAGCTTATTAATGAGTTGAATGTTCTGCATATAACACTCCAAATAAGTTTTAGGAGTATAAGGACCCTACTGAAGAATTTGAAGCGACTGGTGACTAGCAATTTATTAGAACAATTCTTCGTCTGTTGAATACTTAATACTGCTCTATAACGAGCTATTCGCCGTGCCCATGCAATAGCCTCAGCAGGCAGCTTCTTTTCAATTTCAGAAACACTCCTCCATTGTTTTTTAACAGCTATTGCAAATATGTCATCCTCAGACATCTTAACAGAAGATCTTTTCATAATGTCGTCCACAGGATATCCAACTAATATAAGTAGATTCTCATAAGCATTGACATACTGTAACCACAAACACACAATACCAACCAATTTATACAATGACCATCTACGAGTAGAAATCAGAGAACTGATTCTGCTTGCAGCTATGTTCCATAGGTGACTACCATTTCTAACAGAATTGGATTCATAGGATGAGAGTGTATAAAACACTAAAATAATAGGAAGCTCTACCGGAGAAATTGAAAAACTTAATCCTGGAACATTAAGATTGAAGTCCATAAGCTGAAGATCTTTCAATTTGAGGCGAGTGAACAGATCCAATAAAAGTATAGGACAGCTGATGTGATCTCTTCTCTTCAGCCCAATCTGAAAACCTTTCAGATCAAGACTGAAAGAGCTCTCTTTCGAAGGAGCAAAAAGTGAACTGATAAGCCCTCCCAGAAAACACCGACCCTCAGCATACAGAGATTTTGCATTAAGCTCCTTAGTCTCACACAAACATCCAAAGGAATCATTTGAGACAGGAAACTGAACTAGCAGATGAATGTCATGCATCTGCAACTGACAACGTTTAAGTATAACATTAAGGAGAGAAGCCTTCTGATTTCTTGAGGGATTGATGTCTGATAACTTTTGCATAACTTCATGCAAAGAAACACCCTGAAACCCAATAAAGACTCTGTGACTACTACTGCATTTTGCGGCCAAAAAAAAAAAAAAA